TGTGTGTATGTGTGTGTGTGTGCGTGCGTATACGTATACATGTAATTTAATTGTATATGTACATATATATATATATATATATATCTATATATATATATATATTATACTATGAGGTGCAATGTTATCGAGAAAATCAACAACCTTTTGCATACATTGTGTGAGGCACAGATTACTCAAACCTTGCGTCTGAGCGACTCAATACCGAATTAAATATATAAGTTGTTGCGCATATATGACTAAACACTAAATTTTCTATATATCTATGTTGGTGCGCATGACAGTTATGCACAAGTTAGAACATATGCTGTGAGAAAGAAAACCTGCTTTACATGAGCATCTTTGGCGCTCGCAAGACAGCGGCACAAACTCCCAAGAGCAGTATGACTGAGCATCCAACGATAAAAGTGTGACAAACAAAGTCATGAAAACCAACTTACCGTCGAAGTCTCGCTGATCTCGAACAAAAATTGGGCCTGGGTGAGGGTTTTTATAGTGATCTTCATCTAAAGCATAATTGGTGAATAAGTAAAGACAGATTAGAGATCTTTATAGCATTCTCCTTGCACATACTATAACTGGCTTTAACGGGGACAACGTTGGCGCTGAAATCGAAGCAATAATTCAGCACACAAAGGTTTTGCACAAAATGGTCATGAACAAACCACTAAATCCGTAATACAGCATCAATATCCTATCAGGAAAGTGATATCTAAACAAACATACCAAACGGAATAATTTGATGTACCCTTGTCAATATGAAATGATATATAAACAAACACAGCATACGAAACAACTAATGTACCTTCGTCATTATACTATCATGCAAGTGATATCCATACAAAAACTTTCGACGATATACTGTCAGGCAAGTGATATCTATACAACACAGCATACGATAACCAATGCACTTTCGTCAACATACTAACAGAAAAGTAATATCTACACAAAAACAACATAAGATAATTAATATCTTCGTCAATATACTATTCGGAAAATGATATCTACACAAACACAAAAACGAAATAATTGATGTACCTTCGTCAATATACTAGCAGGAAGTGATAAGCATACAAACACAGGCGAAGCAATTAAATGTACATTCGTCAACATGCTATCAGGAAAGTGATATCTATACAAACACAACATAAGAAATAATTAATGTACCTTCTTCGATACACTATCAGGCAGTGATATCTATACAAACAGCATATGAATAATTAATGTATCTTCGTCAATATAATTTCAGAGAAGCGACATATATACAAACACAACATAAGATAATAAAGTACATTCGTCAACATACTATCAGAGCGTGATATCCATATAAACACAACATACGATATAATTAATGTAACTTCGCCTTGTATTGTAGGTGACGTGCAACTGTTTCAGATGCCTGATATGTCAATAAACACACATCAACATACAAAATATACATATCAACATACATCTCCATTGTTTACGTCAGCGTGAATACCATAGAAGTTCGGTACTGAACAATATTCTCCCTGGCAAAATAGGCGCGTATAAAAATAAAGCAACAGCAATATATCACGGCTGGGAAGCCGCGCGGACTGAAAGCGAATCATAGGGGTAAGTTCATATGTATTCAGACTATAAGTAGCATTGTATTAACAAACCCCCTTATCTGAAACCAATGTAATGAAATATATGTTATTAGATATTCACGTATCAACTTATCGCCTGTTAAGTGCACGTCAATCATCGCTTTAAATTATTGTCACCCACAGATCCTAGCGTGGCTTATAAAATTGCCATTCAAATAGCGGTTCCTGTATTACTAGTTGGGGATCTAACATTATGCGAAAGTAATTTAGGTAGACACTTCCGAAGTTTGGCATGGTTTTGTTTCATTTTATGTTGTTGGCAAACAATTCGATCGTTTTTTTATTTGTATTGAAATCAGCAAGTACAGGGCTATCTACCACTGTTGTCGGAGATCGACTGAATATGATATCAAATCGAAGTATATTCTTACTGCTAAGTATTCATCTGCAAAAAAAATGATGGCCACTTTGATCTCTTACTAGTTGCTACCGTGCAACGGTGGCCTCTGCCTGGCCGCCGTTTTGTTGCATTATTGGATGCCAATCGCAAACTTTCTCGCATCATGGCAACGATTGTTATATACCATTGTTATATACGTAATATATGCAAGCATTTTGTAAGTTCGTTGCAAGTCGGCAAGCCCGTGTCAACGGGATGTACCGCCCTCGCTTATATCCTAATACTCTGCGCTACAAACGGCAGTTCAATTTGTATTTTATTCGCAGCATATCCATGTCCGAAGAAGGCGCCTAGGCCAACTGAATAAAGTATCCATGGCTATCACATTATTCAACATTAAAAATGGACATCCCATCCAGATATTACCCCTGACCGCTCACAATTTAGCTGAAATCACATTATATCTGAACCCAATTCGTATCAGGTATGAATGTGCGTGTACGAAATTCTACTGCAATACATGTAGTCGAGCTTTTATGGTACACAGCAATACCGTACTGCACCTTTGTCATAGACAATTTCAGCTTCTGTTATTTAGAGTTTTACAGATACGCTCGCTAGTCCTTATACATAGCAATTCAAGATATAGTATTACAATTAGCTCCAGCCGCGACGAAGCCTTCAGATAAGCGAAAAATGGGAATATCTAGGAGTAAAACCAACTATAGACAAGTTTCGGATAACTGTATAGTAGAATTGGTACACACAAGCCTAGCGCATACAGGGAAAGATAGATTAATTATTTAGGTTCTATTATCGTGTCTTGGAACAGTGGAAATAGATTGCAGCTCTCCTGTATAAGAACTCTGCAAAAGCCTCGAGAATTGTTAGTAGTACACTGCTACATATATCAGTATAATCACCCCACCCAATTGAGGCACCCGATCTATCGATAAGCCTGTCCAAAATATAAATTTGGGTTTTAAGGTTATTTATAAATGATAACGCGCACGTGACTAAATAATATTTATATTACCGAACCCAGCACAAGTAAATATTTACCTTTTTGTGGAAACAAACTGTGAGAAGCCCACAACGACCGGAGTGATTGAAGCAAATAGCTCTCACAAATATATAGAAATTGCATCGATAGTCCGACGATCGCTTGCATATACGAGCTTGACACTTAATGAAGAGTATGCCTGTGCCTGAAGTCGTACACGCTGAGATGTCTTCAATTCAAAACACAGGAACAAGTATGCTTCCTCAGACACAGGATGACGAAGCAATGGCGTCGTTTGCGATAAATATGGTCGACCCTTTCGAAAGGAAAGTACCCGTGAATGAAATCAAGATGAAGGTCTTGGTAGCAGATACAAACAGTTTATTGAAGCGTGTACGATTAGACAATTACGCTGAAAGAATTGTTACGGTAACCGGTGTAATCGACGAAGTGCGCGACGCTGCCTCAAGGTAAAGGTTTTTTTACTTGCATGATTGGTGACAGCCAGATAACTTACATTCAGAATATTATCTTATTCGTTCCACAACTCTATACTCCCAGATTATTGTGATTACGCGGTATAGATACGATGATTAATATGTATGTTTGTACGTATGTATGTATAACTGGATATGTGTATCTACTAATACGTTCGTTTGCGTATATATATTTATATATGTGTATATATAAATTTGTATATATATATTTATATTTATATATATATTTATGTATATACATGTATATATATATATGTGTGTGTGTGTGTGTGTTGGTACGTGTGTGGGCCTGTGACTGTGTGTGACTATTCACGCCTGGTTTGTGTATGTAGATACATTTGTATATATATATATAAGTGTGTGTGTGTAAGCGTATATATATATATTTATATATGTATGTATATGTATATATATATATGTATAAATATATATATATGCATGTGTGTGTGTGTATATAGGTACATAAATGTATCTATACATATATAGGTGTGTGTGTGTGTTTGTATGCAGTATGTATATACGTATAGAAGTAAATATATTTATATATATATATAAGTGTGTGTTTATGTGTGTGTGTGTGGCGGTGTGTATTCGAATTTGTGCATCTGTACACGCCTTACTTATATGTGTAAGTACATATGTTTACATGTATATATTTATATATATATGTATATATGTAGATATATAATATATATATATGCATGTGTGTGTGTGTATTTGTATATATGTATATATATATGTCTTTTTCTATTCATTTATTTATATATATTTATATGTATTCATGTATATATGTACTTTCTATTTAAATATATATATATATATATGCGTAAAAATATATGTACGAGTTTGTGTGTGTGTGAAACAGTTATTATACGTTTAAACGGAACATCCTAGTCTAAATTTTTAATATAGGTACAGTTGTGTCTATTCGGATACAAATACACGTGAATGATTATATATTTATATATATATATATTTATATTTATATTTATTTATTTATATGTATGTATGTATGTATGTATTATATATGTACTTGTATATATTATAATATATTATTTTATTTGTATATACATGTTCATACATATATATATGCCTGTGCGATTATGTATATATACACATACGTATATCTAGGGTTTTTTGATATTTATTTTTGGGAGTTTTCATTTTCGGTATTATATAAGTGTAGATATGTTGAATGTATATATATATATATATATATATATACTCGTGTGTGTATGTGTAAGGATGTATTTAAGTTTATGTTCATATATATATGTATGTGTGTGTGCTTATATATTTGTATCTATGGTAATATTTATATTTTATGTTTTTAATTATATATACTTATGTGCATGATTCGAAATATATATTGAAGTCTATTTATGGTGCGTGTGATATTATGTTGTATGATGTGGATGTGGTTATCCATGTCTACATGTATATATATATATGATGTAACGTATGGGCATACACATGAATGTATGTCCTACAGAATACTTCTATTTTAGTTTTCTGCATGTAAGAATCCAGTTGATGTTTTGAAAATTGGGGATATGTGCATCATACAAGTTTCTATGTATGTTTGTGTGTATGATCATACATACGTTCAATTATGTTATATATTCGTAAACTTGTATATATATTATATATATATTGTTCATATATTTCCATATTTTAGGGTGTTTGTTCTTCGTCTTCGTGTTCCTGTATTTGTTATATATATGTGTGTTCGTACATGTGTAATCAAATTGTGTGTACCAGTTGTTTTTATGGCATGTATATACATATTATAAGAATACATTCATGTATAATGTGTGGTTGTGTTTATAATTTCACTTGGAAATTGATTTGTATATACTCGTACATATGTAGTTTTGTATGCCTTTGTACCTAAGTAAATTATGTGTGTGTGTGTGCGTAGTTTGTATGTATATGCGCCTGTAATCGTGGCATATTTAAAACTACATGTCTTGTACATTTTATGAATGCGTATACGATTATGATTTTGACATGTGCATGTTTGTTGGAGATTTGCACACATTTATTGCTGTATCTATGATATTCTTATGTGTGTTTGTATACATGTGTGTTTGTATGTGCATATTTATAGAATATATATTATTGTTTTTATATACATTAAGGGTAAGTGTTGTGAGAAAGCGCAAGTCATCTACACCATCAGAGGTTGACACCATGTAAACATTCTCATTTACATATAAATATGCATATGTTCGTTCACTAACAGACAGATATAGCGTACTTTATATGTATGCCTGCACCTATACATTTATGACATAAATTATTCATCTCATAGATTACCATTGCAAGGTGTGTACAAGATCGATTGTGTATCCATGTGCTAATAGTCTTGTAGCCATGTTTTGTGTTAGTCGTCGTGTACTTAGTGCTTTCACTTGTGTGCCCAATTTTTAAATTATAGAAGCAATTATACACTGGCATGCATTTTCAACCAATGGACTTACATAACTATATATGAAGTGTGTGTATATACTCGTCAATCATTCCTCTTCTATATACTTGCTCTTTATACGTGTGTGTGCATCAATAGTTTCGTGCAGATTCTGTTAAAGCCTTCTGTTTTGTATCGTTTTCATTTGATGTGCCCATTCACACAGGTTGTAAGTTCTCGACATGCATATATTTATACATATATATTCCGACATTACTCTGACGTTGTCAACATCTACACAATCGTAATACATGTGTGTTCGTGGCCAAGTTTACTCGGATTGTTTTCTCAGAAAGAAGGTCCCCGTGAAATGATCGCTTTGTTTATCATCCGCATCATTCTTTCATCATACAGAAATTATTTGAGGACGACTCCTTTCCAGTTAGAGTTCAGAGAACCATCTGCCGAGTCAATTAAAGCAGTAGCTGATTTTTCCAAGAAGACCGGAGACTATCAAGCTTTGTCTGTTGTAGATATGCGCGTGCTTGCATTAACCTGGATGATGGAGAAGGAGGTTAGTTGAATAGCAAGCCCTTTTTTACAGTTATTTGCAGTTTTGAGAGGCATAGCATCGTGCCTCAGATCATTTTCATAATTACTCATCAAATATATGAACATATGTTATGGACGTCCCTAAATCATTGTATGTTGCTTGTGCGTTATGTTTTATTTTTATTTATATTTATTTTGGGGAGAGGCGAGGGGGGGTTGCGTGTCAATTCATTTTGGTTCATGCATCACTTGGCTGCTGCGCGGCAATTCGGTCTTTAGTAGTGACATACTTTCTTTTTGTGCTCTGACTGTTTTATCACTCTTGACCTGTTACTAGGTAAATGGCAACACGGATCACATTCGCACGGAGCCCTTGAAGGCTGGGGCCAAGATAAAAGGAGGTAAGTCCACAGTCAATAACAGAGCGGTGAATGCCGTCACCACGGGTATTCAGACGACCCCGTCATCCAAACAGCCATCCGAAGGTCCCCCCACATCTATTAAGAAGGATACGGAAACGCCAGAAGTTGCGTCAGCACTTGAGAACAGTTCAAAGTATTTCACTACAACCACGAGCACAACAAAAAATGCACCATCTGCCCAAGTATTAGAGAAAGAGGCCACTGAGTCAACTGAGCCGACTGCTAATGAAGGTAGCACAAAAGAGGAAGATGCCGGAGATAGCAAATCAGTCATAGGTACACAAACAGATGCAGTGGATGCTCCTGCGCCGAAGAAAAAGTCGTCTACAAGGGCAGCCAAGAGACGCAGAAATAAGGAGAGGAATGCCGTTAACAACACAGCAACTTCAACATACACCCCGAAGAATGCAACTGCTGCACCACCGGTGTCAGAGAAGAAAATCACTGGGTTTGCTGGGAAAGCGGCAAAGGGTGGTAAGAACGCCACAGCTACGGAGCGTGCCGGTGTTGCTCCCGCGGACGATGATGGCTGGATCACACCAACCAATTTTCACAAGGCTGCCGCCGGAAGTGATCTTAATGCCACTAAGTCAGCTGGTATGTTCGATAGTTCTTTTTTATATTACTGCGTTGGCTCGGTGGAACTAGCAATAATCCACGTCATCTCTCGGGAACTGGATGCAATTTAATTGTTTAGATGTATCTGCTTCCTTCGCTTGGGTGTTTGCCATAGTCCTTTATTTGAAGTCTATCGCAGTGTGTCCCCATGTCGTTCCTGGTTCACATACCATGCGCCCAATCTTATCATCTCACAATGCGTAGGCGAGGAAAACAAGGTGGGATGTATGACAACGGATTACGCTATGCAGAACGTTCTACTGCAAATGAATATGAGCGTAATCAGTGTCGATGGGATGGTCATTAAGCGTGCGAAGAGCTTCGTGCTTAGGTGCCATGCGTGTTTCAAGGTTACATCACAAATGGACAAACAGTTCTGCTCGGATTGCGGCAATGCGACATTGGTCAAGATGAGTGCGAGTGTAGATAAGAAGGGAGTGACGCACTACCACACGAGCCGTACAAAGAAGGTAAGATATTGTGGGCCATATCTCACTCTATGCATACATCACTCTAGATTCCCAGTGAATGATTACGTGTATTGGTTGAATTTACATTTGTCATCGTGTAATGTACTTAAATGATTGTCTAAGTCTCAATGTGGTAGATATAGGTCCGTTTGTCTTCGCTCAAAAGCATGCATATATAACATATCTCTCCGTTGCTGGGCCCAATTTTACAACAGATAAGTCTCAGGGGATCGGTATATTCTATTGCCGCACCCAAGGGTGGTAGGCACGCCAATAATTTAATCTTGCGCGAGGATCAGCGTGAATATAAACAACAGAAAGACAAAGCTAGACGACAGGAGAAAACTTACGATGTATTTGCCGATGATTTCATGGACCGCAGCTCGCCATTTGGTGTTTCCAAGCCTGAAATCAATGTCCTGGTGAGTGTTTTAAAAATCGTGCTGTGTTGTCTATAAAAAAAATACTGTGTCGTTTAACGAAGAGAATCGAGTTTGTATGCACTCTTTAATTGTCGTCGTATCTCTATTTGCACATGTATTCAAATCTGACCAACACGTTTCGTCTTTCTGAAAAATAAGATAATCGACAAGTATGCACGGGGCGTTAAGCCTCGGTATGTAATCGCATTCCTCTCACTGCCTTGAATTCCTCTCATCCCACAGGTTGGCCATGGACGCAAGAACCCCAATTTGGTAAAACACACCGGGAATCGAAAAAAGAAAATGAATAAGCACGACGTTTAGCATAGTAATGAGGTCGAACTTTTAAACAGATAAATTGACAAATATTAATTGAAACTGTCTTTTCGACGAGAGGGGATCTTGTTGACTATCAGGTTGCCTCAGCTATCGACTGCTTTCAGTGCTGCCAGTAGTTTTTAGTATAAGTTTAATATGATTTCGATATCGTGCTTGTTTCGGTCGTTTCCGTTTTGTTGCTGCACGGGAAGATTTCTGTAGCAGTTTTATGTAGTATGCCTGCCGCATAATTGATGCTGCCAAAAAGCTCAGATAAGCCAAGCTGACTCACTAAATAATCTCAATTCTAGAAAATTGTAATTCACAAAGTTTGGTGTGTATTTGATATGCTTGAATTCTAAATTGTATTTCAATTCCTATTGTGAGCAGTTTTGAAGTTCGTACGTGCGTACCGCGAGTGATGTCGTCAACACAGTACTAGGAAATTTCGACGTGTACATTATTATACCCTTCACCGAACTTGTAAATTTGAAGGGGATACCCGATGGGTCAATAATTGGCAACGTACAAATATTCTGTCGAATAGTGAAATTGCACTGCTCTTTGACTATGCCAAATCACAGAACTGCTCTTGATGTGGACTGCACGATCTTGAACACCGCCGTGTGAAAATAAGCCATATTTGTAAATCCAAGTGTTGTATGCTTGAGTTCAGATGAGCTGAAAATAAACCAGATTTAACACTGGCTGTGAATTTCAGTGTTCACCAGTGAAAAATTCAAAACTGATGTTTTATGCATGGACGTGGTCGTCGCTATTAATTTAATCCTAACGTGACTCTCAAACAGTCTTCAACGCTCGGAAACTATACACCCACATATCCTCTTATATCATATTTCATGGCAGACACCTGGAATATATGTAGCTTGTAGTGCACCTCAAAACTAATTATCGACCTCCAAATTTGGGCAACCACAAAATTTCATTCGAAAGCTAGGTGGTTTAATCCTTGATTGTTTTGCTGTTTATCTCTAAATTCAAATTCACGCCCGGGTGTGATTTTCTCTAAACACGCTTGATGTTTTTGATAGTATGGCCGATTATAATCTAGTCACTCAGAGTCCGCTCATCACCCCCAGGGAATACGGACTCAGAGTCTTAGTCCATTTCATGTACCTGCACATTTGCACTATAAAAAAATCAAATTCCTATCTGTGAGACGAGGTGTGGGCTTCAATTGCGGACAGTCTAGGAAAAATATGGTTTGAGCGTAACGTCTACCAAATACACTACTGCGCAAGTCAATCTAAACTACTGTATACACGCTATTGTGAAGTCAACTAGTTAGATATGTATTGTGCTAGTAAGAACCTCTGTATCGTTTCAGGCCATTTGGTTTGTGTGTTAATATATTTCGTGAGATTTTATGTTCACCTGCACTCTTCAAGTACGGTATTGAGTCCATATCGCTGTAAGTCTTTGCCATTCAATTTCAATACTTTCTAGGCTATTCTACAATTCACTTGTACGACCTCATCTCAGGCACCCAAAATTAATAGTCACATGCAGACTTGGCGAATTGTCTTCCAATGATGGTGAGTATATTTACCCGGTCGATACATGGACAGCAAATGCTTAATTTAACTTCATATTCTGTGATTCTTACCACTATTAACGTGAGAATCCATGTTCACGTATCCTTCTGCCCTCCTCTTACGCGTGTTCCCTGTACCTAATAACGATAGAAAAGGAATTCGCAAAAAGTTTATATAGGTCCCCTTTTGAAACAAAAAGTATATCGCATCGTGCTTGTTAGACAGAACGAACATATTGTCCATTACTGTCACATCGACATTCGGTTTCAGGTAAGGTTCCAGTGATTTAGACCTTCTCGGCGTGTATCACACTGCCCTTAATTACGACAAAGGAAATACATATAACTTACTCTGACTTCTTAAGTCGAATAACCAATTTAGTATCAAGCACTTTGTGCAAAGCGTATAGCACAACTATATAACCTATGAATCCCACATGGAAGTCGAAGCCAGTATTGACAATATCATTCGGCGAAAAGAAGTTAGTGCATTTCCTTTGCGTTATCCGCGTCTGACTTTTTCTCACGTGGTGGCATCAGACTATAGGCTGTTGCCCATACCCTTAACTATGCAGAGCCATGGTGACAAGCAGCATCTCGAAACATGTCACTCGACCTTGCATTCTTTTGAATATATTCTTATCGTCGGAAATTGACATAGTGGTCAAATTTGAAGCTGCGAAATCATCACCTTTGGTTGTTGAGCATACAATGGTAACAAAGAAGGCCACCTCCAAAAGCCTGAGTATCCCCAAATATCTAAATTGCATGGAGCTAACATTGTATACTGAGGCTCGCATATATATATATATATATATATATATATATATATATATATATATATATATATATATATATATATAT